GAGTCAATATTCATTTTCTCTATGCCAATATCTAATTGTTCTCACACTATTTATTGACAAGACTTTCCTTTTTCCATTGAATTTCTTTAATGACTTTATAAAAAATTCAATTGCCTGCAAATTTGGGCATCTATTTCTGGACTCACTATTCTGTTCCATTGATCTATTTGTCTATTCTTACACCAATATCACACTGTCTTAATTATTGTAGCTCTATAGTGAGTTTTGGAATCAGTAATGTACGTTATCCAAACTGTTCTTCTTCAAATTTGTCTTGGGTTTTCTTGATAATATGTATCTCCATTTAATTTTAAAATTAGGATCGCAGTTTTTACTAAAGAGACCTGATGGGATTTTGATTGGGATTGTAATAAATTTATAGATCAATTTGGGAAGAGCCAACATCTTAACAACATTGAGTCTACCCATCTCTCTTTTTAATTAGGCCTTTGTGAATTTCTCTCAGCATGTTCTTAGTTTCAGTGTAGAGATCTTACACATCTTTTGTTAAATATATTCCTAAGTATTTGAGGGTTTTTATGCTTTTGTAAATGTTTTTAAAAATTTCCTTTCCAAATCATTTCTTGCTTATAGAAATACAATTTATTTCTGTATGTGGACCTTATATCCTGTGATCTTGCATTCATTTTAGTAGTTTATAGATTCTTTTGAACTTCATGTGTTCACAGTCACATCATCAGTAAATAAAGATGGTTTTACTTCCTTCCTTTTTATTTTCTTACCTTATTGCATTGGATAAAATTTGCAGAGAGGCTAAATTACTTGCTTCTTAAGTTCACACAGTTAGTAAGAGCCAAGATTGAAACTCAGTCCATCTGATTCCAGAACACCCTGGAATGAGTGAAGGTGTATTAAGTATTTTGTTGCTGTTATTGCTTCAGAAAATATGGCTAGGAAAAAAGTAGGGTCATACTGAAGAATATAAGGTAAAGGATTTTAATTGCATTCTGTAGGCAAAGAAGTAGTTTCAAGTGGAAACTAATAGAATAAAAATGGGAATATTAATCTTGTGACAGTGTGCAGTATGATTTGAAGGGAGCCCCTCATTCATTTATTCAGTCATATCATGGTCATTTATTGAGCCTGTATTATGTTCTAGGAATTGTTATAGGTACTGAGGAAATAAAGGTGAAGACAATGTGTGTCCTTAAGTAGTAGAGATATTCAGTGATGGAGAACAAAATCTTAGCACAATCTGTATGCCATGCTGCAAAGTCAGCCCTATGATCTTGCATAAGTTAATTTCTCTGAATCTCAATTTTCTCACATGTAAAACAGGAATAATAATACATATAATGCCTACTTTGACTAGAAATAGGGGTGCCTGGGTGGCTCAGTCAGTCAAGCGTCTGCCTTTGGCTCAGGTCATGATCCCAGGGTCCCGGGATGGAGCCCACATGGGGTTCCCTGATCAGCAGGGAGTCTACTTCTCCCTCTGCCCTTCTCTCTGTACCTCCCTCTGCCCCTCCCCCTGCTCATGCTCTCTCTCAAATAAATAAAATCTTCTTAAAAAAAGGAAAAAATATATGTAATATACTTGACCTATATTAGACACATTTATAGTAGCTATAATATTTAAGAGATTTGGAAAGAGCAAACAATAAGAATGAAACAGTTGGGCAAATAGTCGTTTTGTTCAATAATCAAATTGTCAAACAAATGTTTTGACTGATTCTCCCCTCCAATAATTACATTTTTAATAAAATGAACTATAGGCTTTTGCTTTTGCAATTTGAAGAGAGTACACCAAAACAGAGGTACCTGTGCTATGCATAGATCTAGTCAACATAATATTCCTTTAAAACTCTATAAAGAGCTCGATAGTTAAAGTACATTAATTTACACAATTTTGAGTCTTGCAACAATTGTACAGATGAAGAAACAGATATTTAGTGACTTGTCTAAGGTCACACAGTAAGTAGAAAAGTGCAATTCATATGTTTATTTGCCTATCTTCTATATTTTTACCATACCGTGTTACCTCTCATTATATCATGATGCATGCTAGTAGTAGTAATCATACAAAAATGGTATTGAACCTTCCATTTTTATGTAGTTTAAATATGAAGACAGTGAGTAGCTTGAAATTGAATGGGGAAGAGAGGCAGTCAAAATAGAAATTTCTTGCCCTGGAGCGCCTGGGTGGTTTAGTCAGTTAAGTGTCTACTTTCAGCTCAGGTTATGATCTCAGGGTCCTGGGATTGAGCCTGGCTTCAGGCTCTCTGCCCCGCGGGGAGTCTGCTTCTCCCTCTCCCTCTCCCTCTGTGCTCTCTCTCTCTCAAATAAATAAAATCTTAAAAAAAAAGAAAAGAAAAGAAAAATTTCTTGGGGCACCTGGGCGGCTCAGATGGTTAAGTGTCTGCCTTCAGCTCAGGTCGTGATCTCAGGGTCCTAGAATTGAGTCCTGCATCAGGCTCCCAGCTCGGTTGGGAGTCTGCTTCTCCCCCTGCCTCTTCCCCTGTTCATGTTCTCTTTCTCTCAAATAAGTAAATAAAGTCTTAAAAAAAAAAAAGAAATTTCTTGCCCTATAGCATTCACATTATTCTCATTTTTCTTAGGTATATTGTTAAATATATAAATTATCGTTTTACTTTGTTATTTTTTATTGCATTTGTAATTTGTCTTTTTTTTTTGGTTTATCTACTTGCTTCATCCATCCATGGTCTCTCAAAAGTTTCTGCTTCTACTAAATTTTAGTAATTTCCTTCCCCTTTATGATTTCTACCCACATTTTTTGTACCCACATTTTTTTTTTTTTTTGTTATTGGGTTGTCCTCTGTTGGTAATATACCTAGTACCTATATCTTTGTGGTTTTTTTTTTTCCTTTGCATCATTAAGTCAACTTATTTACTGCCTTTTCTTCCTTTCCATTTTACCTTATCATAGTGATAATTCACTAATGGCCAGTTTTTGTAACAATTATTCTGAGGTCTCACAGAAATCTAGTTCTATCAAAATACTGAGAACATTTCTTATAAACAGATTTTAAAAGCAATGTATTGAACGGTGAAGTGGGGAAGGGGACATGGAGATTGGATGAGATACTATTGTTTATGTTTTACAGATCCAGTTAAACAAAAAAACATTATGTGGGACCTTGTTAGGAGTATAATAAAAACTAGAACAAGACAAGGTTGAGAACCCTGAGTAGCTTACAATCTAGTGAAAGAGAAAGACCAATATATAAACAACTCCAATACAACACAATAGTATTAACACGACAGCATGAAGTGCTGAAGGAGACCAGAGACTACTGGAGAGCAGAAGTTACAGGATTCCTCCAGGTTCCAGGCAATTGAGTAGCAGCTGAACATGGAACTTACTATGCTATGCTGTCAGATGTGTTTGTTTTATTTTGGTAGAAACAGTCTCTTGAGCATGCAGTAAGTTTTATTGAGAAATATGGAAATGCAATGGGGAGTCATTTATTTGCACAGATATCATGGGTGGTTTTTGACAGTGTGAAATATACTGTTGCAGAGGACTGATGGACTCAGGACTTCTGCCAAAAAGAAAGCAAGAAAGAGAATCTTTTATCACAACTCAGTGTTAGGGGTGAGGACAGGAAAGAAGAAAATCTGAGTCCAGCAATGTGACAGACCTCAGGTGACTACTTCCTCATTGTAGGAATACTATGGACCAGTATTTGGTGGAAGAAGACAGTCCATTAAAAACCCTCCATTTCCTGTTTCTTCTCCCAGGTTTTTGGAGAGCTGTGGGTTTTTAGGGAACATAATTCTGTTATGCCAGGTAATAAAAATAATCTTTAAAAACTTACTACATTAATACACAGTCAATGCAAACATTTTAAACACTGTAGTTAAGTGTACAAAATAAAAGTGGAAGTACCCCATTACACACTCACTTATTATATACTCCCCAGTGCTAACAATTTGTTGTAATAGCCTTCCATTTTCCATCTATAGTCACACACACACACACACACACACACACACCACACATTTTCTTTCCAAAAATAAAATTGGTGGTATTCCCACAAATTTGAGGTTGAAGATATTAAAAGTGTGGGCTTTTGAGCCTGCCAGGACTGGGCTCAAATCCTCTCCGGCTTCCTGGCTGTATAACCCTAGGCAAATTACTTTATTTCTTTAAGTTTAAATTTTTTGTGAAGGGTAAAAATGGTAATTACCTTGTAAGGCTTGAGGATCAAAATCAATAGCGTATATAAATTACTCAGTCCAGTGCCAGGCACATAGTAAGTGTTCAATAAACACTATTATTGTCTATGGCAAGTGACCTTTTCTTGTAAGACTAGAGGGAAATTTGTTATGCAAATGTTGTTCATTTTTTCCAACTAACTATATCTAAGTTGGGAAGAGCTTGCTTTCCCAAAGCATAAAACTGATCCAAGTAATATTTTAGTGAGAATTCTCGAATTTTTGGTGCAACTCTCCTGCACCCCCCCCATCACTTTCTGACGTCTAGGAAGTGGACTTTCCAATAAAGAACTTCTGTGATTCATGTCGGGACGAGAATGCTCAACCAGGTGAGGTTTTACACACTGTGGACACTTTTGCTTTATCGGGCGATTGCTGGGTGGCACCCCTTTCAGCTAGCCTCCCGCAGTCGCGCCCCTCCATCCCTTCGAGAGTTACGGCTGCAACAGTAGAAGTCTACCCTCGTAGGAGCGGAAAGAGACTTGATGGACGAGGGGCACCTCCAGGACGCAGCAGCAGACGCGGGGCGTGCGAGGTGCGCCCTAGGGGTGCAGGCTGCTGGCGGAGGGGCCCGGTCCGAGCCCCGGCGGGAGGCTCTTCCCCGGGCGAACCTGGCTCTTGGCTTTCCCCGATCTTCGCCCGGGGCATCTTCCCCGCCGTCTGCAGCCCCAAGTACCCACTGCCTGCACTCTGCAGCCCCGGCCAGTCCCATCCTCTCGCTTTCTTTTTTGGCACTGCTGCCCTTTGCCCTCCCATGGAGTCATCTGTTTACTCTCCCTTCACTTGCAGTCACCCATAGGACACCCTCCCTTTGCCACAGTCACCCATTTTGTCCCCTTTCCCTTCTCCCCCTCACTCTTCACCTCTCCCCGGGTCGCCTTCTCAGAGGACTCTGCCGACGGAGATGCTGCGGACCCCGCGGCCAGGGTCTGCTACCCGGAGAACGCTCCGTCTACCTTTGCCCCCTCCTCGGGGGCGCGTGAGGCAAGTTTCCGCCCAGTCCCTTCCCCAGTGACAGGACTTGGCGGCGGCCACGGCCAGGGAGGCGGAGGGAGGGACGGCCTGGCTCCTGAGCCCCCTCCCCTGCTCGCGAGCTCGCGCGGTCTGTGTCTCTCTCCGCAAGTGCGGAGACGCGGAGGAGGAGGAGGAGGGAGTTGGGGGAGGATCTCCATTGAAATAAACAACCAGGCAGCAGTTATTAACACGGGAACATGGCGGCCGCAGCCTCAGCCACAGCTTCGGCGGCGAAGGTCAGCGCCGACGGCAGCCGGCACCTGACGGCGTGACCGACCCGAGCCGGTAACCGCACCTTCCCTGGGGGCCGCGAGGGCGGGCGGGAGGCGGGAGGCGGGCGGCGGGCGGGGGGCGCCGCGTCCCCACCCCCGGCCGCTACTGCCCTTCCTGCGCCGAGCCCGGCGGAGCCGTGCGCCGCGGAGAGGGCTGTTTTTGTGTGCGGGGACCGCTGCCGGAGTGCGCGGAAAACGGGAGTTGCATCCCGGAGGCGCCGCGAAGCTGGGGAGTTGGGTCTTGGGGGGTGGGGAGGGCGGGAAGCGGCGGGGAGACGCGGAGTCCCTGGGAGAGAAAGGAGGCGCTCCAGCGCTTTGCGAGAGCTCTGGAGACGAGTCCCGGAGCGCGAGGCGGGCGGAGGCTGCAGCCCGCGGCGCCGGCGAGAGGTGAGAACCGAGGCGCGGCGGGGAGGCCGGGGGCGCGGGCGCGGCTCCCGCCTGAGGAGCCAGGCGCCAGCCAGCCCGCCCGGTGCGGGGTCGCCGAGCACCGAGGTTCCTGTCCCCCTCGGGGGGAGAGAGGCTCAGACGGGAAGGTGAATCCTGAGAAGGTGCATTCTTTAATGGAAACGCGGAGCGACTGCAGCGGAGGGTGGGAGTCGGGCGAGGGGAGGCAGTACTCGGGAAGTGCTCGGGGGTGTGTGAAGGTGAAGCGCGATGTCAGGGGCGGCCGGCCGGGTGAGACGCTGGGAGGAGGGGATCGGCGGCCCGGCGGGCGGGCCGGGCCCGTGTCAGCGCCGGGGGCGGGGGGCGAGGGGCGCCGTGCGCCGCGGGCGGACGGGAAAGAGCTGCGGCGGGCGGGGCGGGCGGCGCGCTCGGGCCGAGCAGGCCGGGCGGCGGTGGGGGCGGGGAGCCGGGGGCCGGACCGCGGCGGCGCCGAGCTGGGCTCGCCCCTGACTTAACTTTCTGGGTGCGGGCATGTGTGCAGGAGGCGCGCTGGGGCCGGGGCTGGGGGCGGGAGGCGGTCCGGGAGGTTCCGGGTTGGCTCGCCAGCGCCCCCTTTTCTCTCCCCCTTCTCCCCGCCCCTGAAGGGACAGGCCCTCAGGGCCCCAGGCGGGAAGCGGGAGGGGCCCTCCCGGCTGACTCGCGACGGTCACACCCCGGGCCCGAGGACACTTCTCCTTCGGGCCTCTGGGGGCTTATGAGTGAGGGGGCCGGGGTCGTCGCGGCGTGTCGGGGCTCCCCGTCCCCCGCCCCTCGCCCCTCCGGGGAGTCCCGGAGGCGCCTCTTCCGAGATCGGGGGTGGGTCGGTCCCTGGTTAGATGGTTCCTCCCTCTTCCCCCTCCCTCTAGTGGTTTCCGGGGCCTGCGGGACCGAGGGGCGGGAATCGGGGACCCGAGCCCCTTGCGCCGGCCCAGAGCTGGACCGGGCCTAACGCTCTCGGGGTCTGTCATGGTAGGGGAAACTTTCCCACACCGGGGACCAAGCCTGAACACCTCCTCAGCCACCTCGTCCTCTAATCCCACTCCCACTCCACCTCCTCCAACGCCTTCCCCTCCCACCGACCCGAATCTCGCTGCGTGTGACTGATGGGGCAGTGAGCCAATCGAAGGCGGGGAGCTGACCTGCCGGGTGTTGGTAAGCCAATCGTGGGGACCGGAGGAAGGAAGGGGGCGGGGTTGCTTCCCGACCAGTTAGAGCAGAGTTGCACGCGGGGCGGGGGAGTCATGGAGACGCCGAGCTAGCTACTCTTGTCCATCCCTAGTCACCCGGTTCTTGGTCTGTGCGGTAGTGTCACTTATAGAGTCTCCCACTTAGGCATGTAGTTTACGCGAGATACTGTATTTTTCTTGGTGCCACAAGAGACGTCGTCTTAGACACGACGAAGTCTAAAGCCACTTAGTATGTGGCAGTAACTCTCCGAGGCCCGTTTCTAAAATGGCATATATATTGTAGTGATCGTGTCCTGGACCTCAGCGACGGGTTTACGTGCAGAGGCTCATAGGAGTTATCAGTTTACCCCTACCTCACTTTCATTCAGCTACTCCAGGGTGGGGACAGTGAATTTGCAAGGGTTCTCTGAAAATGAAGGCATCGGGATAGTCTTAAGTCAATTGATTATTGGGAGTGTAAAGCATCATTGTTTGTAATGGCTTCACTGGTTCCTTGTTTAATTAGACCGCCAGTTCCCAAAGTGCACTTGGAAGTTCGGCATTTGGGATGACCTTAAAAAAAAAAAAAGTTTATGGCATGCGTTGTTTTATTTTTTTCTTTTTCTTGAGTAAACAAAATGAAGTTAGGAACCAAAAGCATCACTGTTTGAAAAATAAAGCGTTGGTATTTAAAAAGCAAAGCTAGTCAAAGACTATTTGTCTACAGAAAAAAAAAGTCTAAGTAAAGTGTAGTTTGCTGGATTACTCCCACACAAAAGATTCTTAAAAAAATAGTTTTCTTTAAACACACTGCTGAATTGTACAGTGTGTGAGTACTTTTCTGGTTTATGCAAGGTTAGGAGACATCTTTGGTTGTTTTATGTTGGTTTTTGGGTTCAGTATAGTGACTTTCTCAACTCCTGACTTTTAAGAATAGGGAGGATAGGTCTTTGGTTCTCAATGAAGAGCACAGGTTGCTCCCCAGGCATATGCTCCTGTTCTTTGTTGGTGAGGTTTAGTGCACACTGACAGCAGCAAGGATCGTTTTCCCAACTGGAATTTGTAAAATCTTTGGGAGTTCAAAGAACGAATCATGTTAAACTGAGAAGGAATTCATTCATTTTGGGCTAAGTATCCCTTGAATTTAACTGATCTTGGGAGGCTTTTGGGGGGGGTGTCTTATGTGCTTGGTATTTATTTATACTGCTTTCTCAAGCTTTCATTAATATTTGGTTAGTATAAGAAACAACTGAGGAACTGTAGTTTTAGGAAACAGTATTTACCACACTCTACAGATGTGTTGTTGTAATACACCGTTCTCAAATTTATAATGTGAATTCTCAATTCAGTATAATTTTGAGTGTTTATGTAGACAAAAATTAATTGCATTTTTCTGTAGCCCTTTGGGTGTTATTTTAGTGATAATAAAAACTGTGGTGATAAAACATTTAGCTGCCAGAAGTGGGGAATATCATAAACAACATTCAAAATTTGACAACACTGAAAACCCCCATCATTAGTTAATTTAGTTACTGATGGCCACTCTGACGTGTGCCCTTCTCTCTCTTTTGTATGTGTAAGAGCAACACATTATTTTACTTCATTCTCTACAACAATCCTTGAAAATGTTCTCAGATTCTTGGTGGCAGAGAGCAGCAAGTCCTCTAAAGCCTGGCTTGGGGCGGGGGGGGGGGGGAAAAAAAAACCTCTCAAGCATATGGAGACATCTAGAAAAAGATGTGCATCGTCAGCTGTGATTCCATTGTGTGCTCTCAGACTAGATCTGAGCCTTCTTCCTCCTGGGGATTTCAGTCTTAACAGAGGAGTTCTTTGACTTTTAGATGTCAGGGTACTGAAACAAGGTAGAAAGAAGCTCACTGATTATGAATTTTATATTTTTTAGATACTTTGGCTCTGATTTTAACCTTTTGTTGGCTAAATATAATTTATATGACTTTTGTTCAGTGTTAGAGGAACATTTCACTGGAAATGTAAAATGTAAGGATCGGAGGGGGACTTGGGCTGGGGTATGAGTGTATAAAGGGGTAATGCTCCTTGGTCGGCTTTATCTATAGCTCTATCTTATTAAAGCTTTCTAAGCCTCCCCATCAAGGACCTGTGAGCGGTGCTTTCATTACACACCCTATATTTAAGGATTCAGTACCTTAGCTGTTTCAAATCACATCAGGTTGAAATGTGACCCATAGTTGAGAGCTTGATTTTCTGAGAAAAATGTTTGTGTTGTATTGGGTTTAAAAGTGATTCTTTTAAGCAGTCTTAGGATGGTAGGTAGCAAAAAAAAAAAAGTCTAAACAATTTTTCTAGAAGGCCAGTTTTCTGAAATGCAGTGTGTTCTTATTTGATATTTTGACCACTGTTATGTCATTGTTGAAATTATATTTAAAAGCCTAATTAATGCTTAGCTATTTTTATGGCAAAACTGCTATTTAAGAAATTAATGGCTTTTCAGTATTCTGTGATTATAATTTTGTTTGGTAATTTATGTTATTACATGCTCTATCAATTTTAAATTAAGAGAATAGGAGGGAGAAAGAAAATAAGTTACTGCTTTAAGGTATTGGTCTTTTATTGCCGTAAATCTTAAAATCGGTGGAAATTAGTATCTTTTCCCCTAATGAAATAATCAGACTATTTACATACCAATGATGAAAGCCATTAAAAGGAAAACAGAACAAAACCTTCAGTTTCTTATACTCAAACCTGAAGCTCATTTTACCTCTATGACTTGCTTTCTAAACAAAAAAAATATTCTTAGCGTTTAAGTGTTTGTTTCCAATCTAGAAGGGTTTATGAATTGCAAACTGTAGAAAGAATGTGTTATGTCATGTTACTCTTTAGAGTCTGTTAAAAGTGATGTTTGGAAAAGCTATAAAATACAATTTTAGGTCATAGACCCTCAATTCAGACGGTATAAAGAAACTCGTACTTTATGGATTCTAGGTACGAATTTCTAAATAGAGGTGAGATTGTGACTTCTGTGAGTATTTTAGAAGCTGGTTTAGTTTTCCTAGCTGTTGTAAAACTGAGGCAAAACGTTATGAGAAGGACTGGAAATCTTAAAGGTAAACTTGTGTTTGAAGGTAACTGAAATGAAAGGACTAGATGGCCTGTAGGTAGATCACAATGCTCTTGGCTTTTAGGGCAAAGATTTTATGTCTATCCTATGAAATGTTCATCACTAACCACATTTCTGGCTTCCAATGGCTTATGATGACATAATGCAACTGGAAAAATTGATTCCAGGACAATTTTAAGTTGGTTCCCTAGTTGGAAATTTCTAGAGGAGAATTAAGTAAGCAGGGAACCTATGAGGATATTTTATTTAGCTGCTTTTGAGGCTTTTGGATGTAGAATCTTAACTTTAAGAAAGAGAGGAAAACTGCTTGTAGGTAGAAGTTATTGG